CCCCCCCCCGCATTCTCTTTCATTTTTTACAATGCTGGTTGTAGCTCCCTGATCGATTTCAGCTAATGGGTGGGCCATGCCCTGCAGCTTCAGGGCCTCTGTCCTAGACAGGCTCTTGCTCACACACAGACAGATAAAAGAGTTGGGTGTCATCAAAGCGTTGTTTGTAAAAAGGGAGGAGAGGAGACAACATGCAGTTGGCAGAGGGGGCACCTGGCTGGCTCAGTCAGTTGAGCATGCGACTTTTGATCTCGGGGTTGTGAGTTCGAGCTCCACCTTGGCTATAGAGATGACTTAAATAAAATCTTAAAAAAAGAAAAAAAACCACCATACAGTTGGCAGAGTTGCGAGTGGCATATTAGGCAGCAAAAGGAATGAACCAATGCTGAAAAGCTGATGCGTGAGAAAGCAAGTTGCAAGAGTATATAGAGAGAGTGGGGTTAGTTTCCCATTGCTATTGTAACAAAGTATCACAAATGTGGTGGCTTAAAACAATGCAAATGGGTGATCTTAGAGCTCTGAGGGTCATCAGTCCAGCACCAGTCTCACGGGGCTAAAATCGAGGTGTCTGCAAGGCTGGTTCCTTCTGGAGGCTCTAAGGGAGAATCTTCGAGAGGCACCGGCATTCCTGGCTTGCAGCCTCTCCTAGGCTTGCTGCCCCTCCAGCAGAGAAGCATCTCTCTCTCTCTCTCTCTCTCTCTCTCTGACTTTGACTTGCCTCTCTGGCTTCTTGCTTCTGTCTTCCCCTTATAAGGACTCTTGGGGGTACACTGAGCCCACCTGGATAATCCAGGATCATCTCCTCATCTCAAGACCCTTAATTTAATCATATCTGCAAAGTCCCTTTTGCAGTGCACGGCAATGTTTGCACAGCTCCAGCAACTAGGACGTGAACATCCTTGAGGGGCTCTTCTGCCTACCATACGCTAGAAAGAAAAAGTTTCCTAAGTAAACTTTTTAAAAGCGTAACACACATGAAGAAAAGCACATGCATCATAATGTATGCAACTCAGTGAATTTCCCCCAAACAAAATGCCCATGTAACCAATACCCAGAACAAGGGAATACACGTGCCCAGTGCCAACCTCCCCATAGTGTTAACCACTCAAGGGTAACCACTCCCCGGTCTCCTAACAGCAGAGGCTACCTTTGCCTCTTATGGAACTTGCGATAAACCCGACACGCGGTGGCTTGTCATCTTTCACACAGCGGATCTGCGAGATCCGACCACGTTGCTGACAGCAGTAATGGCTTGTCCATTCTTACTGTTGGTCAGGGTCGTATTTGAGGATATAGCCTTACTTATTTTCCTGCCCTCCTGGTGGATGTCGGGTTGTTTCAAATACCTGGCTGATACGAACAGGGCTGCTGTGAACATTCTAGTACAATCTTTGGGTGCCCATCGTCAGGCATTTGTCTTGAGTGGAAATACTGGGTCACGGGGAGACACGTGATCCGCATTAACAGATACTGTCACACGGTGACAAGTGACAAGTAAACTCCGATCGACGAGAAGTTAAGTGTTGCGCTTTCTCCACATCCTGGTCTGTGCTTTTATTTGGTCATTCTGGCGGTGGGTAGTGGCATTTCCTGGGGCTTTTCATTCGTATTCGCTAGATGACTGATGAGTTTGAGCACCTTTCCGTGTATACGAGCTTTTAAAACCTGGGAACCTACCTTCCACTGTTTATGAGTACCCAAAAACACACAGGAAAGGCTAGATACCCAATTTGGGAAGTGGCTACTTTGGGGGACCGAGGAGGACTTTGGGGGGACAGAGTCCCCAGAGGCCCTCAACTTGCCATGCTGGTCTTGCTAAATGTGAAGTGGATACAGGAGTCTCTGAAGTGTTTTATTTCTTACAGTTGTTTGAGGTAAATAAAATATCCCTTCGCTTTTGATAGAGACGGGGCGGTAGGCACAGAGGGGCAGCCAACACGGGGGCTGGCTACGTTGCAGACACAGTTAAGTGCTGTCCATACATCAACTCTTTCAATCCTCACAACAACCCCAGGAGAAAGGTCTGGTGCCGATGATCTCCCTTTCAACATAGGAGGAAACTGAGGCACAGAGGCTTGAAGGGACTTGCCCAAGGTCGCGCAGCTGACAGATTCGGAAGGCCCTCTCTCTTCTCGATGCTTGCAACAGTCCTTAATTTTAGAGAAAATAATAATTAAAAAGGAAGAGAGAGAGAGCAGGAGGACGAGGGCAGAGGGTGATGTGACGGCGGCGGTGGTCGTTCTCCCGCAGGCCCCCCCAGCCCGGCTGCCCGGCCTTCATCATCGTCAAGCTGAGCCCGCTGCGGGACCGCCTCGTGGTGACGGAGTGCCAGCTGACCCACTCGCACCCGGCCTGCCCGCTCGAGTTCGCCTACTACTTCCGCCCGGGCCACCTGCTGGCCAACGCCTGCCTGCCGGTGCGCACCACCAACAAGATCTCCAAGCAGTTCGTGGCGCCGGCCGACGTGCACCGCCTGCTCTCCTACTGCAAGGGCCGCGACCACGGCGTCCTGGACGCCCTGCACGTGCTCGAGGGGCTCTTCCGCACCGACCCCGAGGCCAAGGTGGGGTCTCGGGAGAGGCAGGCGGGGGCGGGGGAGAGCCCCGCCCGAGCCTCACGGGTCATTCATTCATTCGTTCATTCATCCGCCCACTCATCCATTCGCTCCTTTCATCCTTCCCCCTCCCCCCCATTCGGTCATTCACTAAGTGCCCACTGCGGCCTGCAGCCTGCCAGACACCCGTGGTCCCCGCCCGCAGGGACCCCTTGGGGGTGCTACACCGCCCGGTAGGGTAGCCCCCGGCCACACGTGACTGTTGAGCACTTGCAATGTGGCCAGTAGGACCGAGGAACCGAATTTTAAATTTTATTTCACCTTAACTCCTTGAAATTTAAAGAGCCACTCCTGGCTATTGGCTACCTTGCAGAGGAAGCTGCTAGAATCACCTTGCAGTTGTAGTGGGGGAAACCAACAAGAGACAGACACACCCAACTGTGATAAAATGTCAGGAGGGTTGGGGCGAGGAAGAAGAGGTGACAGAAAGTGCCATTTAGAAAAACCGAACCACACACATAGAAAATGCGCAGATGAGAAGTGCATAGTTGGAGGAATGTCCACAAAGTGAAAACAGCCCTTCCCCACCACCCAGATCAAGACTCAGAAGAGAGGGTCACCTTTGTCACCTAAGGAGATGGAGTGAGGAGTAGTGCCAAGGAGAATAGGGTGAGGACATGGAGAGGGGCAGTTAGTTGTAAGGGTGCTATTTTAATTAATTTTTTTAAAAAGATGTTACTTATTTATGAGTGAGAGAGCACAAGCCGGGGGGGAGAGGCGGAGGGAGAGGGAGACGCAGGTTTCCTGCTGAGCGGGGGACCCAATGCGAGACTCGATCCCAGGACCCTGGGATCATGACCTGAGCCGGAGGCAGATGCTCAATCGACTGAGCCACCCAGGTGCCCCTGTAAGGGTACAATTTTAATTTGAGTGGTCAGGGAAGATCTCTCTAAGGAAATGCTGGTGAAGCAGAGGAGGCAGAATGGAGGCAGGAGACCCCCATTCTATCTTCAGAGGGACAGGAGTTCCAGGCAGAAGGAATAGCCAGTGCAAAGGTTCAGAGGCTGGAGCACTCCCACTGTTCCTCCAAGAGGAATCTTTCTGCTGCTTTCATCCAACTTCAGAGCTGGGGTGGATGTGCAGGGAGGAAGTGGAGGGAGGGGAGAAACTAGGTTCTCCCCCTGGCTGTGCTTTTCTCTTACGTATGGAAGAATCCCAACCCCGGGTAGTGGTGCAGTGTGAACCCACTCTCCAGAATCAGGTCCAGAGCACTCCCCCCACCTCTATCTCATGCTCAGGAACCAGCCGTGATTCAAGCCACCAACACAAACCCAGCCCTCTATCCACACATCATATCGATAATTTTAGTTCACGTTATCAAGCACTGACTAGGTGCCAAGCACTACCCTAAGTGCTTTGCGTGTTATAATTCATTTAAATCGCACCAAAGCGTGTTGAGGAAGGAGGCCACCATTCTCCCTTCCATTTTATAGACAAGGAAACCGAAGCACAGAGAGGTCAAGGAATTGGCCCGGGGTCACACAGCTACTTAATGATGGAGCTGGACTTCAGACCTACACAGTCTGGATCCAGGGCCGTGCTCTTCACTGCTCGGCTATTCCCCAGTTTAGAAATGAGGCTCGGGCCCCTTCCCATCAGGGCTAGCCTCCGGAGAGCTGAGGGTCCCAACCAAGTCAGTTTACTGCTCTGTAAAACGGGGGTACACATGCCACTGGTCTTCGCTGAGCTATTCGGTTCTCCACTGTCCACCGTCAAATAAATAAGCCTTGGCTGTCTTCCCTGCAGACACCTATGTAGGGCTGCCCCCGTGAGAAGCCGCTCATCGACAAACAAAAGCCTTCAAGGTCAAGGGATTGTCCTTTTAACTTCCAGTTTGGAGGCTGCCATAGAATCCAGGCTAAACCAAGGTTGCCTCCTGGGTCCGTCTTTGGGTCCACCTTAATCCTTTTAAAGGAAACAAGGAAGGAGTTCCTGAACATCAAGAGAGAGACCAGTGAAAGGATTATTCCTTTTTTTTTTCAACATTTAAATATTGACTTTTTGAATATGTAACACGTTCACATGCTTCTAAATCCAAAAGGTACGAAGTTTCAAAAGGTGAAAAGTCCCCTTGTCACCTCCTGTCCCTCAGGTCCCCTCCTCAGAGGCCACCAGAGTATCTGTTCTTCATACATCTTTCTATTCTATGGCTCTGGGCTACCGGGGGGAACTTTCTGTGATGATAGAAATGATCTGTGTCCCCTGGACTCATGTGGCTATCAAGCATTCACAATGTGGCCAATATGATGGAGGAACTGGATTTTTAATTTAATTTAATTAATTGCAATTTAAACAGCCACTGGCTTCACACTGAACAGCCCCACCCCATAGGTATACGGGGAAATTTGTCTTTCATTTTCATTTTATTTCCACTTGCTCCCCTCCTCCAGCATATTAGACATACTTTTTTTTTTGCATCTTGCTTTAGATGTTGGGGCTGGCCACATGTCAGCATCTTTCGTTTCTTCCTCTGGGGCTGGTCATCTTTAACTTCTTGCCTGCGGGGGTAAGGGCCAGGCTGCCAGCTTCTGGGAGCCACATGGGGGAAGAGCGCTGGGGACCTGGCTTTGGGGCAGCAAGATGCATGGACACCCTGTCCCTCATCAGATGGACCCGTTGTCCCCGAGGCCAGCAGCCCTTCCTTTTTTTTTTTAAGATTTTTATTTATTTATTTGAGAGAGAGAGAACATGCCCATGAGCATCGGGGAGGGGCAGAGGGAGAAGCAAGCTCTCCGCTGAGCGGGGAGCCCAATGCGGGACTCGATCCTAGGACCCTGGGATCATGACCTGAGCCAAAGGCAGACGCTTAACCGACTGAGCTACCCAGGCTCCCCGGCCAGTGGCCCTTTCTATTCTACCCGTTTCACAGAATAAACCTCCAGCCACCTGGGAGTGAGAGGAAACTTGACCTTAGAGGTCTACCTGCTTCTTAAACAGCCATCGACTTGTCTATTTTAACCTCCCCGCACTGCCTAGCGCTGCCAATTCCTTTTGAAGATGCTACTATCCGTCCTCAGCATTTTGCAGTTGCTGGCTCAGGAATCATGGGGTTCAGGGTTTGGCTTTTGTTTTGCAGGGGGTGGGGGGTGGGGAGTGGCCATCTTGTCCAAATGCTTGCCGGCTTCCCAAATTTGGTTCCTGTTGTCTCCTTTCCTATTGCTCCTGTCTTTAAAAAAAAAAAAAAGTCCTTTTCTATGGAAACCTCTACTTGAGGTTCAGGGAAGATAAAGTTAGAGTCTGGCCAACCTGTCACCTTTACATGGCAGTTTCAGGTGGCTCTTTTCAGTCATGAGATATATTGAACGATTTCTGTATTATTACTATGTTAGGATAATAATTCTTTATCTGGTCCCAAGACGAGGCTAAGCAACAACCAGATATTATGCTCTCTGCTTCCCAGCAGTCTCATGTAGGAGGGATGACTTTGTTTTTTGGTTTGGTTTGGGTTTTTTGGTTTTTGGGGGTTTTTTTGTAGTTGTTGCTTTGTTTTTGTTTGTTTCTGTTTTGGAGGGGTTGCTTTGAAAAGCTGAATGCCTGGGACCCCCTGAGTGTCGGTGACCCACTTGGTCCTGGGAGGGGGTCCAACAAGACTAGTGTACCCAAAGGCCACTGCCACAGTTTGTGGGCAAGACTGAGTAGCTGCTTCAACGAGGGAGGTGTTAAGACCTTTTATAATCTGCCCTGAGGCTGCGGTGATGTGCTGCGGTGTTAGTTACATCTCCATCGCCTCGTTTGTGGCAGGCTCTAGGGTAATCGGCAAGCTTTCTGGGCAGAGACGGAGCTTGCACAGAGATGTTGGACCTTCTGTCATGGGTGTGCTTCGCCTTCTGAGAAGGAGGACCGTTGATCTGAGTGTGCCACTTTTATGAATAGTGAAAGGTAAACTGGTACAGTCACAGTGGAGGGCAACTGGGCAATGTCTATCAAAATGAGCACTTGGGCCCCTCTCCCACTGCTGGGAATTTATGCTTCACAGGTGCGGGTGACTTAGAAGGTTAATCACCTATTTTCTGGGTCCTAGAGTAACAGCTAGAAACTGGTTTTATTTATCTTGTGAGGTGCCAAGAGCTTTCTCTACATTCCAGCTGTGCCGTTTACTGGCCGTGGGACATCCAACAAGGTGCGACAAGTTACTTCTCCAAGCCTTAGTTTGTTCGTCCGTAGAATGGGGATAAGAATAGGTACTACTTCATAGGGTTGTTGTGGGAGGATTAAGTGTGTGTATGTGCGTGTCTGTGTGAAAACAGTTAAGTAGGAAGCCCTGTATGGGTAGCTATTTAGGTATTATTTTTATCCCCTCAAGTTTTTCTTCGGGCCAGTCTGGAGAATAGTACCGTTCCGATCACATGGAAACAGGGGTGTGGATGGAGAGCGTTTCGGGGCGTGGTTTCTGATGTTCACATTTGTGGAATCCACCATCTGTGGTTGACGCATCCCAGTGTCACCGATTTGTGTGTCTGAGGTGACACCTGCCCTCAGGTGAGCCCTCATATCTGCCAGCCACCTGCCCTTGAATCAGGCCTGTGGGATCACTTTCGTGAAGGCCAAGGGGGTACAGCGGTCAGGAGCGCGGACTCCAGGCCCAAGCGGCCGTGGGTTTGAATTCCAGCCCTGCCACTTACTACCTGCGAGTGTACGCCTCTCAGCTGAAGGTTGTGCGACTGGACTGTTCCTGGAGCCTCAGCCAGTCCAACAGGGCAGGACTCAGGCCTGCCTCCATCCCTCTTCTCTCTTCAAGGTCACACACAGCGGTCCACAAGAGGCTCTCAGTCAACGCTGCTTAATGAACTAATGGCTGGGCAAGAAAAGCTTCTGTGCCCTCTTTAGAAAGAAAACCGCAGGTCAGAAATCGAAATTATCCCTTAAAGAATGGAAGTCGGCTTCTAACTCATCAAGGGCTTGCCTGCTCTGGAAAAGTCTCGAGCCACATACATTTTGCTGTATTTCCTTTTCCTACTCCTGACTCCCCAGAAGAAACAGACGCGAACTCAAGACTACAGAAACGTGTCACTCTTTTTGTTATACTTAGGACAACTTTTATCTTGGCGGTAATTTCTCCACTAGTGCTGTCTGAAGGAACTTTCTGTGATGGTGCCAATGTCCTGTATATGCAGCATTCAGGAGAGGAGTCTCTAGCCCCGTGTGAAATAGGACTAGTGCGACCGATGAACTGAATTTTTCTAGGTTGTCAAATATTAATTAATTTAAATGTAAAGATGGGATGCCTGGGTGGTTCAGTTGGTTAACCGTCTGCCTTCGGCTCAGGTTGTGATCCCAGGATCCTGGGATGGAGCCCCGCATCGGGCTCCCTGCTCAGCGGGGAGCCCGCCTCTCCCTCTGCCCCTCCCCCTGCTTGTGCGTGCGCGCTCTCTCTCTCCGACAAATAAATAAAATCTTTTTTAAAAATTTAAACGTAAATAGCTACATGGGGCTAAGGCGACCAGCTTGGACAGAGCAGTTCTAGATTGAGACATTAGCAGAGATAAATTAAAGTAATCGTAGGTGTAAAAATTCATGATGGTTGGAAAAAAATCATAGTGGGATAGTAACTAATCCAGTGGTAGGTTTTCTAGGCTTTTTCATAAAATATAGTGAATTCTAATATGAGTTAAGATGCTGAATATAGAATTTCTGGGGCGGGAAAGCAATTTACTTGTTTTTTTGGAACTCTACTAGTCCTTTCTTTTTTTTTAATTAGAGGATTTTTTTTCTTTCCCCTTGAAAGCTGAGAATGATGCAGTGCTTTTTTTTTTTCCTTAAGATTTATTGATTCATTTTAAAGAGAAAGAGCATGAGAGAGTGCAAGCAGGGGAAAGGGCAAAGGGAGAGGGAGAATCTCCATCAGACTCCCCACTAAGCGGGGAGACCTACGCGCTGCTCAATCTCACAACCCCGAGATCATGACCTGAGCCAAAATCAAGAGTCGGACGCTTAGCCGACTGAGCCACCCAGGTGCTCCGATGCAGTGCTTTTTAACCATCTGGTAGGATGAGGTTGGATGATGGCAGAATGGTTTGTGGCGAGATCCGTGCTTACATGATTCAGATCCTGGTTGTGCAGCTGGGGGCCAGCCCTGACAGGGACCGGCAGAAGGAGTCCGATCGCCACCTGCCTGCCCCATTCAGTGGTTTTCATGCGTGATGATGCCAGAGTGGCTGAGGTCAAGGAGGACGAGAGGGACAGAAGATGAGGTCCACGGGCCTGATGGCCCAGCCCACAGCGTGGTGGGAAATCTGGGTGGTCCTTGAAGTGGGATGCGAAGTCCCAGGAGAGGAAAGGTTTTCAACCAGGGGAGGAGGTGATCTGATCAGAAGTTTTGAAAATGAAATGGAGATGGGGCTGGCTGGGGGGCAGTGGGAATCAAGTGTGGCTCTGGGCTGCCAATCTCCAGGGACACTGGAGACGTCCAATGGGCCATGTTCCTGCCGAGGCAGTTCAGTAGATGGATCTAGAGCCTGGAGATACAGAACTGGGAGTTATCAGCTGAGAGATGAGGAAGGCCATGTGACCAGATGATATCACCTTGGCAGAGCCTAGAGACAGGAAAGAGGAGAAGAGAAGCCAGGACGGGCTCTGCGGCTCAGCAACATTTAGAAGCGGAGCAGGGGTGGAAGAAGACAAGCAAAGGATACCACATGGGAGATGCCTGGGAGGAAGGAAGACAGCCAGGAGTTTCCAGGGTGACAGAAGCCAAGAGGGATCAAAAAGGGGGCATTAAGGGCGCCTGGGTGGCTCAGTTGGTTAAGCGACTGCCTTCAGCTCAGGTCATGATCCTGGAGTCCCTGGATCGAGTCCCGCATCGGGCTCCCTGCTCAGCGGGGAGTCTGCTTCTCCCCTGACCCTCCCCCCTCTCATGTGCTTGCTCTCTCTCATTCTCTCTCTCTCAAATAAATAAATAAAATCTTTAAAAAAAGGGGGGGGGCATTAAAATGCTTTAATGCATTTCGTCCTTCCAGTCACAGAGATACTCTCTCTTCATTTTACAGATGGGGTGGAGGTCAGGGAAGTCGCCAGAAGCCACACGGCCAGGGTCTCAGCCCAGGCAGTCTGGCTTTAGACCCTAAGCTGGACCTGACCTTCCGAGCATGAAGGAATGAATTTTCAGTTCCCAGAAGGGGAAATTGGGGGAACAAGGAGGTTAAGGAGGAAACTGAGGCTCAGAGAGGTTAAGTCACAAGGTTCGAGAGCGGTGGAGACGGGACTCAAACCTAGACGATCTGGCTTCAAAGTCCTTAGTGCTAGACCAGTGGCTCTCAAACTGGAGCGCGCGTGGGAATCCCCGGAGGGCTTGTCAGAGCGCCGACTGTGGGGCCCTCAGAGTTTCTGACTCGGCAGATCTGGGAAGGCCTAAGAATATGCATTTCTGTCAAGATCCCAGCAGGTGATGCTGCCGCCTCAAGGCCTACACTTTGCGACTTTTGCTCTAGACCGCCTGTCAGCGCATGAAGGAATGAATACCCAGTTCCCAGTAGGTACAGCGAGGCTCAGAGAGGCTGTCCCGTGTGCAGAAATCACACAGCTCTTAGACGGTGGTGCCGGACCTCACACGCGGGCGATCGGCCTCCGGAGGTCGCGTTTTTAACCATTCCCCGGCACTGCCTCCTGCCGGTCGGAAGAATGGGGGCACGCAGGAATGAACGGATTCCCACTGCCCCCCGTGGGGGTGGGGGGGACCCGAGATCCGGGAGCCGCCGGGCGAGCCCCGGCGTCCCCTGACCTCTTTCCCTGCCTCCCCCTCCCCCTCCCCCGCCCGCAGGTGAAGCTGGTGTTCGTGGAGGACCAGGCGGTGGTGGAGACGGTGTTCTTCCTGACGTCGCGCACGCGGGCGCTGCTGCGGCGCTTCCCGCGCATGCTCCTGGTGGACCGGCTGCCGGGGCTGCAGGGCGCGCTGGACCTGCTGGCCGTGCTGTGCGTGGACGGC